CGACCGTGCTAGAACCACGGAACTTGGGAATGCCTAACACCTTCTCCCGGGTTAACAGAATTCCTTATCCGGATTTTTGGTTCGCGGACTGTAATACAGAGTCATTCTTTCCTCGATTCGGGATTTGAACCGGTGACTTGGGACACCATAAATTATCCCAAGTGGCGACTCTGAATTCTTTAAATAAATAAATCTCGTTTCGATTGTCCTTTAATTGGAAAAACTCCCTTATACCCTTCTCGGGGGTAGTGAAAAAGGAGTTGTGACAGCCGTAATACTCTATGAGGATTATGAGCTATGAGTTATCACAATTATCTCTCGATTAACTATGATAATTTACTAGAGCATTCTCTCAAACTACTCTAGCTGATAATTTATGCAGCTCTGAATTATTCCACCAAAGTTTCGTTATCTCTAACCTCACTTTTAAGTTCAAGTAATGAATCTCTTCAATTACCCAAAAGTGATGTTGTTCAACAACAGTCTAACCTAATATTCTTTATTAAGCAACACAAGGCAATTAGACACGATTAATCACGGGCTCATTCAATTAAACACCATACAACACATAGTTGAACAATCATATAATAAACCCGGCTCGATTATAACAAAATTGAGTTAAAACTTCATCCAACAATTGGTTCCATCAACCCTAGATTAAATGTTTAGCTACTCATAGCAAAGCAAGATAAAACTACAAAAGTATTCATAATGTGCAATTGAAATAACAAAGAGAAGATAGAAAAACTCTAATGGTTGGTTGCTCTTTTCACACTTGTTCTTACCTCCAAATTAGTCTAAAAACAAGCTTGACTTTCTCTTGGGCGAGTTTATTGAGCTTATAAGGGTTTGAAATAAGTTTCCCCCGATTTACACTTTAGTCAAAAGTTCTGGGCAGCTACACAGTCTACCGCGGCCGCGGCAGAACGCGGCGTGACTGTGGTGAAACTCGAACATTCTGCCTCGCTTCCTTGGCCTGCCGCGGTCGACCGCGGTCGCGGTGGCCCTCAGCCCAGTCTTCCTTTGCCTCTTTCTTGCTTATTTTTGCTCGGGTTCTTCTTGATTGGCCTTTTTTTCACATTATTGACTCCCAAACACTCCATAGTCTCTTCCTAACTCGGATTAATCCCTGTGAAGCAAAACAGCACCAATTAGAGTATTTTATTATCATTTAGCCTTTAAAACAACAATAAAGCATGGTACATTTAGGGCGTAAATATGTCTATATAGCCTATTATCACTACTCAAAAAAAAAAATAGTCTGATCTTGACTGAAAATTTTGTCCATTTTAAGAAAGTCGCATAAAATTAATAGAGACAAAACTAAGAACAAAAGGAATTAGATGCAAGATGCAGTAGATTCGCTTGGACACGCATATGCTAACGCCAGAATATGATGTAAGATTATATGACACTATCCTAATGACTAAGACCATAAACAAAAGAAAGCGTGATCCTACACAATCAATTTAGGAGTCGTTGGCTAATTTTGAGAGGACTTTTTGAAAAATTATTTGAAAATAGAAAGGTTTTTGCTCAGAGGCGGATATAACATGTCTAGAATATTGTAGTTTTAAAAAAAAAAGAATTATATAATATTCTCTGAGTTGAGGACGAAACTTCCTTTGGAAAACATACTCAATCACTTCAAGAAAATCTTTTTGGAGTATTTTTTCCCAAATACTTCCTGAAAAGGAATTTAAACTAATGCGATTCTGTAAAGAATTATTATAGGATTTTTAAATGTTGCATACACTAATGTCACCTTAAGCATTTGCATAATCTAAAATCAGAAAGTTTACTGTCTATATGGGTGCCTGAATCTTATTGTGCCTATATCTTCCCACTCAAATTAATTAAATGTATATTCTGCTTTGTCATAAAAGAATAAAAATATTAAACGGTACTTCAATCTCTTGTAATTTAAAATGTTGGATTTGCCTTTCTCAATAATTTCATAGCTAATTAACACCAGACCCTACAATTAAAGTATGATCAGCAAAACCCTCCCACCAGAGCTGGCGTCTCCTCTTCAGTCTAGTCAACCCATTAATGTATGGGCTGGTGCACCGTATACTGTTGGAAGCTGAGGCAATTTTTTTCCTTTTTTTTTGGTTAATAAATAAAGCAAGAAATTCTCCAATCATACACATGGGCGAAGCACATTTTTTGTCGAAAAATTACAATATGTATATAGATAAAATATTAGATTTTAGATGTATATGACATATATTAAACACTCTTTATTGGAGATTTTTTTCACTTCTTTTAAGTTTGAACATCCTTAGATAAATTTCTAGTTTCGCCACTGATCATACAAAATTGTTTCCAGCAAACCCTCTAGAATTTTTCTTGATAGTTAATGTCAAACCTATAGAAGAATATTGTTTTGGGTCCCCACAGACTACGCGGCAAAATACAGAAATCTATTTATAGTTTTAATATACTTATACGGTCTTTAAATTTGTATTATTTGTCATTTAAGATACATATCGTACGTTTAATATCTTTAATTATAAGAGTTTTTGTCTAAATTTATTTTCATTACTTCTCAAACATCTCGCTTGAACAGCACTCCGCTAATCAAAACAATAAGGTAGATTTGGAAATTAAAAGATAGTATATGATAAATGACCTCTTATGTTTTATTTTTAAATGTCAAATACTTTGAAATAAATTTAGTTTGGCATACGGTTTCGCCATAAATGTTTATATAATAACTATAGCAAATCGTGTGGAAAAAGTTAATTACCTAACTGCGAATTATGGGTTAGGAAGCATTTTCATAGAAATTTCTCATGCTTTAGCTGAATGACTTGAGTGAAATAAATATCATAATCTCAGTGGACTTGTGATTTGTATAAACTGATTATATCGTTGTTTTTATTTCACAAGAAGAAATATAAAAATATTCAAGAAAGAAAGTCTTTTCTGATTAGCATTTGATTATAACTATATCAGTGGACTGATGGTTAAGACATTCTAGTTTTTTTTTAATATAACATTAATGCGTTTAATTACTTTATTGAAAAATTAAAGCTGGAAACATGGCAAAAAGAAAAACAGATTAGAACTTCGACTAATCCTTCTTCGACACCTTATCCACATCGCAATGTTAATCCCTTTGTTACTAACACATAGTTGATCAGTGACTAAAAAAAATTAGCCTCAACCTACTGATAAATATATATAGTTTAACCGATTACAACATGTTACTTATATCTTATTTATAGAATAATAATCCACGTTATGTAATTTTTATTTTGTTTATAGTTGATATATAAACTTAACAGTAAAAAGTTATTCACAATAACACTTAAAACTCTTATCTGATTAAATGTCCATATATAACATTTTATATGATATCTTACTAGTCTACAGATAAGCACTACACCGTAACCTTTCCAACAAACATTATTTTAGCACCAAAGGTTACATGGGTCGGTAATTATCCCTTCATCCTTAATCAAAAGTGTCTGAACTATGAGAATGAAGTCGCTATTAGTAGGGAGCGATAGCGCTTTACCCCAGAGTAGGATTTCCGGCGCGAAGCTATATATGGACAGTAATATTTGTGCAAATCTCTCTAAATTATATACAAATATACTGACAGTGACATATTTTTTCACATAATGAATGTAGTTTAACATGTAATAATAGATTAGTAACTACTTTTATCATGTTAACAATGCAATTGACGTTGATTAGAAAATTTTGAGCTTAAGTTGTATGCCTTGATGTAGTGTAAAAATTGTAAACAATCAATGTAGTAAAAATTACACGGGGCGCCTTATTTGGTTGCCCTCATTTAACATATACCCATTTTTTAAAAAACTTTTAATTTGTACCAACTTTTTAAACAACTTCAGCCCCTTTTCTCCTCCTCCTTTGTTTTCTTCTTTCTTCTTCTGCAACGATGACTTCAACATTGCTCTCTTTGATTAATGAAGCTAAAACAAATATACAAGACTTCCACTTGGATTATTATAACATTAAAAATCCCAAACCAAGAGATAATAAAAGTTCTTTGAAATCTCACTATCTCCCACTTGGGTTGCTTTTGAATGATTCTGCCTCATGACTTCTTTTGGGACCACCAGTGTGCCACCTTGTCCAGTAATTTAGTTTGGGCCTCTGAATATATTTAGTACGATTGGATCAGATAGCATAAAACATGCTGAAGTTAATCAAATATAGAACAAAAGCTTCAGCTCTAGAGCTGAAGTTTCCCAGTTACAAAGACAAAAACTTCAGCTCTAGAGCTGAAGTTTTCCAGTTACAAAACAAAAACTTTAGCTCTAGAGTTGAAGTTTCTCAGTTACAAAGATAAAAACTTCAGCTCAACTTCAGCTCTAGAGCTGAAGTTCGCCAGTTACAAAAACAAAACTTCAGCTCTAGAGCTGAAGTTCGCCAGTTACAAAAACAAAACTTCAGCTCTAGAGCTGAAGTTCGTCAGTTACAAAACAAAAACTTCAGCTCTAGCGCTGAACTTCAGGGTCGGCTACTAGAATACTGAAGTTTTGCGTGATTGTCTTTGCTACTTCAGCCCTGTATGCTGAAGTTATGCGAAAAAGCGGGTACGCTTGCAATTTTTTTTGCAAAGCGGACACAAGTTAAAACGTGACACAAAAAGCGGGTATAGATATAAATGCCCCATCAATGTAGCTTAAACGCATTATAACATGTTAGCCCAAGTAATGTTTAATTATCTGATCGTGTAAATAACCGTCAATGCATAAAAACGTAAACGTCAATGCTAGTCCTGTGATTAGCCTTTAAATTGATTTTCTTGCCGCCCTTTAAACTATTTTTCTCCTTTGCAATTTTGGCTGGAAATTTGTTATTGACCAAAATTAGGAGAAAGAGTCAGTTTTACCATGTCAAATATTACGGAAGCAACATTCCTCTTTCTATCTCCTTTCTCTCTCCCTTCCTCTAACTTCTCTATATATACGCCACCATCTCTACCATTCTTTCTTCCATCTTTTACATAAGTTTCAAATAGGAGTATCTGATTTTCTTTGACCAAGATGAAGCCATCGTCCTCTTTAACGTCACGGGTATTAGAAATCACAGTGATATCTGGGGAGAATCTCCGAGAAAGCAAGAAGCAATGGGTGAAGAAGAACGCTTTCGTAAATATCAGAACAACAGATAGCAACGTTCAAACAACTAAAATGGATAAAGACGGCGGAAGTTATCCTGTATGGAACGAAAAACTGATCGTTGATTTGCCCATGCATGCAATAAATCTGACGGTGGAGGTTCAATGCAAGACTTCTTATGGGATTAAACCCATTGGGATTGCAAGAGTTCCCACGTCGGATTTCATTGGTGGATTCTTGCCTGAAGATTATCTGCACTTCTTGAGTTATAGGCTTAGGGATGAAAAGGGTGAGAAGAATGGGATTATCAATTTCTCCGTCAAGGTCAAGAATGCACCGCCGCAAACTACCGGTTGCGCCTCTGCTTATTCGCAGCAGTGGACGGTAGCTCCGGCGGCAATGAGAAGTAATACTTCTGGCGTGGTTGTAACCGGTATTCCCGTTTATCCCAGTTATTAGGTTTAATTTGGAGAATTTCTTTTAATGGATGAATTGAATTGTATATATGGATAGGTTTTAGAGGAATTTGATTGCCAAGAAAGGATTCCGTTTTATATATATATATATA